GGGGGCGGGGCTGCCGGGCGGCAGGGGGCGGGGCGTCGCAAGCTCCGGAGGCGGGGCGGGTCCGGCACGCCCAGAAATCACCGCGAAGATTGCTTATTCTGGGCGTAAGGGGACGGCCGTGGTGTGAAATGCTTTACTCAGTAGCAATGAGAAGAGTAGACTTCACTTTTCTTTGCTTATGTAGTGCCAGGCACTGTTAGAGACTTTGAATAATAATGAAAGTACTATTTATTCTCACTATGAACATAATGTTGATGGGTGAATGACGTGTGCCGGGCACTGTGATGTATGGCAAACAATAAATATAAACAGTAAGCTACTGATTATTGCTTGCTTGTTTTGTGCCGCTCTGCTGAACGCTTTCAATAACAACAGCGGCAACTGTGATAAATAAGAGCTACTCTGCATTACATGTTTACTATATAACAAGCTCTGTGCTGAATCCTTCACTAGTAGATGCAACAAATATTTAGAAATACAATAAGCAGAAAAGTTGACCTGGTTCCTACTCTCTCGCTAGATTCTGTTGGAGAGACAGCCTTGGAATAAATAACCCCACAAATAAATTAGGCGATTAAAAATTGCTGGGAACCCAGATCTACTTGGCCTCAAAAGTGAACACTACATCACTGTTGCCGTTTAAATTTTATTTCAGTATATGTTTACTACATAAAATATGTGTTCTTAACAGTCTTCTTTACATATATATAGATGAAACAAACACAGCAAATAGTTAACAATGCTGACTCTACATGGGCATCCTTTGTACTATTCTTCCCACTTTTCTGCATACTTGAAATTTTTCATAATAAAAAAGGTTTTTTTCAAGATAATCTTTGTCTTTTAACTAGAGCATTTGGTCCATTTACACTTATTATATTTACTGATAAACACTGTATCTGGATTTATTTCTATCATATTATTTTGTGCTTTCTATTTGTCCTGCCTGTTTTTTCTTTTTCCTCTCCTTTCTTACTTCTTTAGTGCTGATTTTTTTTCTCATTCCATTTTTCTTCCTCTTACACCATCTATTTCTGTTGTTTTAGTGATTACCCTAGAAATTTGCCATGAGTACTTATCTTATGAAAGTCCAATTTTTTAAATATCTTTACCTTGCTCCCTTAAAATATAAGTACCTTTGGATACTTTAGTCACTCATCCCCTAAATTATATGTCTTAATTGTAGTGTGTTCTAAATTTAATCTTTCTCTTTTCACCCCATGAGTCATTACTAGCTTGTTTTATGCAGTTGATGTTAGTTTACACTCAACCACACAGTTACTGATTTCTTTGCGCATCTTCTTGCATCTCAAACTTACAACTAGGATCACTTTCCTTGTGACTGTACATCCTTTGTTTTTTTTTTTATAATGTTATTTATTTATTTTTTCCCCCCAAAGCCGCAGTAGATAGTTGTATGTCATAGCTGCACGTCCTTCTAGTTGCTGTATGTGGGACGCGGCCTCAGCATGGCCGGAGAAGCAGTGCATCGGTGCGCGCCCAGGATCTGAAACGGCCCGCCAGCAGCGGAGCGCGTGCACTTAACCGCTAAGCCACGGGGCCGGCCCATCCTGTACATCCTTTAAATCCTATTTTGGTGAGGGTTTGTTGGGGCAAACTCTCTTCGTTTTTGTTCATCTGAAAATCACTTTATTTTGCCCTTGTTCTCGAAAGATATTTTGGCGGGTTTTCCAGAGTGACAGTTACCACCCACCTGCTTCCTGCTCCCGTTGTTACTGTTGAGGTTTCTGACAACAATCTCTTCATCATTCCTTCCAAGAGAATCTGTTTTTCCCCCTGTTCTGAGGTTCTGAGTTTTACCACGATGTATCTTTTTATTTATTATCTTAGTCTGTTCAGGCTGCTATAACAAAATACCATAGGCTGGGTGGCTTAAATAACAACAGACATTTATTTCTCACAGTTCTGGAGGCTGGGAAGATTTCACATCTGTCAAGAGTCTGCTTCCTGGTTCATAGTTAGCGTTCCCTTGCTCTCTGGGGTCTCTGTGACAAGGGCATGAATCACATTCATTAGGGTGGAGCCAGTCTCGACATGTGAATTTTGGGGAGGATACAAACATTCAGTGTATAGCATTCATCCTACCTGAATTCTCGGGGGTTTCTGAATTTGTTGATTGGTATCTTTCATCACTCTGGAAAATCCTTAGACAACATTAAAAAAAATTTTTTTAAATCGTGGTAAAATACACATAACATATAATTTACTATCTTAATCATTTTAATTGGACAGTTCAGTGATATTGAATACATTCACACTGTTGTGCAACCATCACCGCCATCCATCTCCAGAACTCTTTATCTTGCAAAACTGAAACTCTGTACCCAATAAACACTAACCCCCCACTCCCCTACCCGCCAGACCCTGGTAACCGCCATGCTACTTTCTGTCTCCATGAATCTGACTGCTCTAGGGACCTCATATAAGTAGAATCATACAGTATTTGTCCTTTTGTATCTGACTTATTTCACTGAGCATAATGTTTTCAAGGTTCATCCACGTTGGAGCATGCGTGACGATATCTCTTTTAAATGTTACCTGAGCCTTATCCTCTCACTCTTTTCTTCTGGAAGTCTGACTAGTAGTTTATTCAACCAATGTTTTTCAAACTGTACATTGTTTCTCAAGAGTGACTTATTAAGTCAATTTAATGGGTTGTTACCAGCACTGAAAAAGAAAATGAATAGAAAATATCACAGTGTATTGTATTATTTCATGAAACTTTTGTTTCAGTTATATTTATCAACATACCTATAGGTATATCTATGTAGTGAGTCACAAATGCATTGATTACTGTGGGCTGTGGTAAAGAAAGAAAGAAACAGGGAGATAGAGAAGTCTGTAAAACAAAGACTCTCTCTTACTATTCTCCATATCTCTTTACTTCTCTGTCACAGCTTAACCTCTGGTGTTTATGTCCTATATTCTGGATATTTCTTCAAACCTCTCTTCCAGTCACTAATTGTCCCTTAGGCTGCTGATAAACCTGTTTCAGGAGTTTTTCATTTCAGTTATTTTTTTTAAGTCTATAAGTTCTGTTTGGTTCTTTTACATACCTGAGTGGTCGCACTGGCAGGTTTCTAACATTGGTTTCAGGCCCATCCTCCATCCAGGGAATGGGGCCATATTAGGGTTTTAGTGTTGGTCTCCACTGTTGTCACTTTAGGCACTTAGCAGTGGCAGTGACCAGGTCAGCTTGATGAGGGGAAGTCCGTGTTCTTGGGCCCATATCGAACTTCCACACCTGCCGCGATGGCCACTTTGTAAATAAACCCAAAGAGCAAACAATGACACAGCTGGGAATAAAGACTGACATCCAGAGAATGTGTCACCTTGTCCACTTGATTCTCAGAGTCACTGCTGCAGTGGATGCCCTTGGGTGGGCATCGACACAGGACACCAGTGTCTTCACACTGTGCCATCCTGAGAGGCTCCACATACCTCCTCCCCACATCTCCTTCTCGCCAAATCCAGTTCTGCTGTGTCTGTTCCTGCCACCCACTGCCCACGAGTCAGCGTACACCTGTGCTTCTGACCATCTCTCAGCCAGACAAGGTAGACATCAATGTACTGCTTGAGATTCTGGCAAATCTCTGAATTCCATTTATGTTGTAATTCTGCAACCTGCCCAATTAAATTTTGGGTATGATTTTCAGCAAGGTCAAAAACCTACAGCTATAAGAAATAAAGGATTATTGTAGGGCTCCATAGAATCTCTCTGGTTTTCTGACTGTGACTTAAACTGAGAGATTAAAGAGCGTGTCATTTTCTTTCCGTAATAGCTCCGGTGAACTCAGACACAGCTACCCTACCCCACAGTCCTGTTGTCACTACCACGTAAGTGTAGCAGCCGCGTGGCTCTCCAAGGCCCTTGCTTCTCAGGCGCTGTCACATCAAATGCAGGTGAGAGTGTAATTAGCAAGTGGCATGCTTATTATATATTACTTGTAGATTACTTGTAACCCGTGGTGTATGCTAAACTGGCTCTCTGGGGTAAAAATAACTCTGATTTGTAGTTTTTGCAGATTTCTGTGGTGCCAACACTCCCTCCATGACTGATTTTAAGTGACCTGTGGGATGTCACTGGACACAGAGTTGAAAAGAGACGTGCACCATTGGCACTGGCAGGCTGGTGTGAGCCCACTCCAGCACACCCCGCTCATATTCCGTATCCCATCAGCACTGCAGTCAGGTGTGAGTGTGTGGCCAAATCAGCCCCAGAATCCCTTCTTTGAGGGTCTGCTTCCCGGGACCACTCTTGGTACCAAGTACCCTATTAGTCAAGGTCTAGCCAAGAAAGCAGAAATTATACCAGTTATTTTGACAAAGATAATTTAGCATAAGGAAATGGTTAGTCAGGTAATGGAAAACTGTAAAAGCCAAAAGAGAAGGACACTGAGGTATCGCAGCGCTGACTGCAGGAAGCAGCTCCCTTCCTAGGGTGGGGGGAGCACAGGGCAGGTGTGGGTCATTAGACTCCCGGAGCTCAGAGGAGGGGCTTCGTGGAGGCGGGAGCAAACTTCTGAGGAGGCAGTGAGAACTGACCAGCGCTGGGGCCTCTGAGGGGATGGCAATGAGGCTGCTTCTGGGATCACCCCAAAATCTTGGAGACTGGAGCAACTACTGCTGCCAGGTGAAGGGTCGTTGCTGAGGTGACCTGACAGGAACACAAAGCAGACAAGAAGAGCAAGTCCCTTCTTACCCTCTCGCCTTCAGATCTTCCTCAAGTGCCTCCCTCTACTAATGGAAGCTGTGAGAAAACCCAATGCCTGAGGAGAAATGAGTGTCCAGAGCCCCAGCCCCAGTACCTCAGAGTAGAGTGCAGAGGGTTGGTTTAGAGATGAGAGAAAATAGCTTCATAACTCCTGTGCCCTCTTTTATTTCTTTAAACATAGTAGACACTTTTATAGCCTGTTCAATATCTGAAGTGTGTGCAGTTTTGATTCTGTTGTTTCTGCTGGCTCAGGGTGTCCTGTTTCCTTGTGTGCTTTATGATCTTTCACCTTATTATGGGAATTATTTGAGGCCTGGTGTTGCAGTTACCTATCACCATGTAGCTAATCACTCCAAAGCATGGTGGCTTCAAACATCGACAATCATTTATATTAGTAGAGTCATGCGCCGCATAAACACGTTTCGGTCACCGATGGACCACGTATACGACGATGGTCCCATAAGACTAGTACCATATAGCCTGGGTGTGTAGTAGGCTGTACCATCTGGGCTTGTGTGAGTACACTCTATGATGTTTGCACAATGATGACATCACCTAATGACGCATTTCTCAGAACGTATCCCCGTTGTTAAGTGACCCATGACTGTGTCTCTCACACGTGTGGAGGTTGACTGGACTCAGCTACCCGGTTCTCACTCAGGGTCTCTCACGCGGCTACAGAAAGGCAATGGTTGGGTCTATGCAGGGAGTTTAGGGGCAATTACTAAGTTAGAGGGCACAGTCCCTGAAATTACCCTCTTTTCCAACACCAAGTGCAAGTTTGAGGGGCTCCTAAAACCACCCTCAGGTATGATCATTCAATAGAAGGACTCATAGAACTCACTGAAAGGTATTATACTCATGGTTATGGCTTATTATAGGGAAAGGATACAAATTCAAATCAGCCAAGGGAAGAAGCGCACAATGCAGAAGGTTCCAAACGTCAGGACGTGTCACTCTCCAGTGTCAGCGTGTGACAATATGCATGGAGCGCCACCAACCGGGAATCTGAGCTTCTGTGACGACAGTCTTTATTGGGGCTCTTACCTAGGCAGGATTGATCCTCTGATTGCCCACATGGCTGATTTCAGTCTCCAGGTTCCACTGGTATCACGTGACTCACAGCCTCCACTCTACGTCACACTGTGGGTCTTTCGGGTGTGGCCAGCCCCCTCCCTCAGACTAAACCGGTATGGACAGCCCCTGCCCTATCACATTGTTAAGGCTATCCAGTATGACGCAAGGCCCTCAGGCTAAAAGACACTCCTATCAGTCATGACATTCCAAGGGCCCAGAGATTATCCCCCAGAAGCTGGGGCAAAGGCCAACTTCTCTTTGGGCAGGTCCAAATTCTCCATTCTCCAGGCTGGAATCATCAAAAGGCTCACGTGCTCACTTGGCTGGCACCTGGCCTGGAGGACCCAACCAGCTGTAACACCTGGGGCTCCGTGGCCACTTCTCTCTGACTTTGCATTTGCCCACATGCTCCCTCCAGATGGAGGCTTCAGGTGGCAGGACTTTCCACACGGCAGCTCAGGTGAAAGCCAGTGTCCTGAGAGAGAGAGAGAGACACACACACACAGAGAGTGAGCGAGCCAGGCGGAAGCTGCATCGCCTTTTCTAAACTGGTCTTGGAAGTCACGCAGGGTCACTCGTCCACTGCATTCTGTCCTTTGAGGCAGTCAAGAGGCCTGTCCAGGTTCAAAGGGAGCGGACAGAGACTCTACCTCCTGATGGGGGAGGGCGAGGTCCCAGAAAAGCACACGGGATAGGAAAGATTGTTGCGGCCGTTTGTGGAACAGACAATATGCCACACCTGAGCAGGAGGTGGCTCCTCCAGAAGGGATTTGCCTCAGCTGCTGCCAGGTAGGGGTTGGGGGTGGGCACGAGCCAGGGTAACTACAAGCATTTGGAAAGGCTGCCCTGTGTTCATGATTCTCGGGGGAATGGCCTTTTCCCTTCACTTTGCAGCTGGGGCTAGTATGCTCAGTTCACTGTTCATTGAAGGGTCCTGCTAGTCTCCCCGACTTGGCTGGGCTCTGACCTTTGTCTTCTGTCCTGTGAGACCCAAAGACTGGGAAAATCGCAGCGCTTGTTCACAGACTCCAGCGGTTTCCCAGGACAAAACCCCGCTCCAGGACTCAGCTAACCTCGAAGGGTCTTATTCTTCCTTTACCTTTTTGGCTTCAGAACATTCCTGTACCAGGTCCTCAATGCTCTGAGAACATCTTACCCAGGATGTGACTTGTTTTGATTGGGAGGGTCACTCAGAATATCTAATCCTCCATAATGCCAGAAAGAGGAGTCTCACGAATAGAGTTTTCAGGTTACAAATATTTTTATTGCACCCAGGTCTCAGATCTTATTGTCTAATTATCATTCCCAATAAATGGAACCAGGACTCCATGGAAAAATGGCTGATTCTAATGCAGGAGCAGGAAATATATGAGATGAACCTGGAGCATCTTATAGTTCCAGAAAGTAAGTGCTCAAAAGACAAAACCAGGTGGTATGTCAAAGGGGACATAGGAGCCAATGAGAGTTCCAGTGGCCAAAGCTGGGACAATTGGAGCAACAACTACAAATAACATAGTATTGGATTATAACCCAAAGTAGAAAATAAATATCCTTATGCCCATACTTATATAAAGAAATGGTTGAATAAATAGAGCAGAAAAGACAGAAGAATTCCTAATAATTTATGTTATCCATTCCTCCCTCAAGGAGGTGGAACATAACTCCCTACCCCTTGTGTGAGATCTGTGCTTAGTGACTTCCAAAGAGGACAGTACGGAAAGTAGGAAAACAGTAACTTTATAAGGAGAGACTGTTATCGTACAAAGGGCACGATCTGCTCGCCGCGAGACAAAAGCCCATCGTCAAGAGGCAAGATGATGGCAGAGAAAGGGTGGTTTATTACAGCTTGCTAGCAAGGGGGATGATGGCTGACTAAGGTCTGAAAGAACCATCTTAAGGGGGCACAAAATCTTACAGCAGTTATATAGGCCGGTGGGGTATAGGGGTTGGGGTTAGGAATGTTGACTCTCTGGTGTTACAGACTGGGAGTCGCCACACCAGATCTTTCAGTTTTCATTGATGAGGGCTATCAGCATAGACTCTCTGTCCCAGGGTCGTCACTTTCCTAAGGAACTCAAAAGAACAAAGTTATCATCTTATCACAGCTGGGAGTTACATACACAAGCAGGGGTCATAAAATCTACAGAACAGGTAGATCTCCTGGAGGGTGCAGATCCAGCTGGGTTAGTTAGAGCTCATTTAAAGTTATAATATGGGGGCCAGCCCGGTGGCCTAGTGGTTAAGTTTGGTGCACCCTGCTTCTGTGGCCCGGATTCGGATCCCAGGCACAGACCTACACCACTTGTCAGCCATGCTGT